GGGGGGGGGGGTTATATTATTTTATTTCATATAGAGATTTATTTGTAAAGCATACATTTTTGAAGGTGCCTGCTGCACACCATACAGCGTTGTAACCAATGTGTGGATAAGGTAGACCCTCAAAGTAACCATCACTCACAAATGTAAACAAAGTATCATTTATTGGAAATAACGACACACAGGTCAAAATTGTCAACATTTTTGGGCCACGCAAAGTCCCAATGGACACAGTGACAATTCAGACAGGCAGTTGGGTGTCCCAAAAAATGGCAGGCAGTTGCAACCAAAGACACATGACAGACAAAAAAATGGATGTCCCAGAACAATGGCAGACAGCCACTTGGGTGTCCCATTAAAATGGCAGGCAGTTGCAAGCACAGAAACATGGCAGACATAAAAAATGGATGTCCCAGAACATTGGAAAACAGGCAGTTGGTGTGTTCTGGAAGAATGGCAGACAGTTGCAACTAAAGAAACATGGCAGACTGAAAATGGATGTCCCAGAACAATGGAAAACATTCAGTTGGTGTGTTCCAGAAGAATAGCAGACAGTTGCAACCAAAGACACATAGCAGACAGTAAATGGATGTCCCAGAATGATGGCAGACAGGCGGTTGGGTGTCCTATTAAAATGGAAGACAGTTGCAACCACAGAAACATGGCCGACGAAAAAAATGGATGTCCTAGAACAATGGAAAAAAGGCAGTTGGGTGTTCCAGACGAATAGTAGACAGTTGCAACCAAAGACACATGGCCGACATAAAATACATGTCCCAGAATGATGGCAGACAGGCACTTGGGTGTCCTATTAACATGGCAGACAGTTGCAACCACAGAAACATGGCAGACAGAAAAATGGATGTCCCAGAACAATGGTAGGTGGTCAGTTGAAGACAACATCAAACTGACAGTTGCAGGCCTGTGATATGGCCAGTTACAAACCTCTACTCTAGTGTTACGTTTCACAGTTAATGCCCAACAGTTAACACAATAAGTGATACAGACTGTTGTGCCAGCTCAAGAGAGGTCATAATCTACTCACACTGCTGTCAGCTGATAGCTGGAGAGGTTGTCATACCCTTTCTGTGTTTTATTATCCCAGACAGGGCCATCAACCAGGAAAGGGCAGGTGGTAGTATGTTCAAACATCGGCCTCTTAGCAACTAGGAGTTTGTTTAGCCTCTCCATATCTCCCTTCTGCCGGCCGCTGACAGCATCTGACAGTGTGAAAAGCTCCTCTGTGGCGCTCAAAGCCACTGTAGCTGGTACAACACAAACACTTGACCCCAGACAGAAAACTGGAGATGTCATAAACTGTAAAGCAATAATGTGAGGCTAGTTATTAACGAGCATCTCAGAATACAATGCAGGACAAACACTAAAGTACTTTATCCCACACAAGGAAATATCTCTTGGTGGCTTATGAAGCTAAAAACATGAATTGAGGAGGAAGCAATACAGAGTACCTCAGAGACAGGCAGAGGCCCATATGTCAGCTAAGATAGTAAGGCCGCAGATGGTCATTAAATACACTATATGGCCAAACATTTGTGGACACCTGAACATCACAATGAGGTTGCTGGACAACCCAATCCAAAACCATGGGCATTATTATGGAGGCGGTTATAAAAGTCTTCATTCTTTCGGGAAGGCTTTCCACAAGAGTTTGGGGTGTGTCTTTGTGTCTATTCAGCATTTGTGAGGTTAGGAACTGATGATGGGTGAGAAGAGCTGGCTCACAAATGGCATCCCATTTTATACCGAAAGTGTTCAGCAGGGTTCTGGTCATGGCTCTGTGAAGGCCACTTGGGTTCCTCCACACCAAACTCATCAAACCATGTCTTTATGGAGCTGGCTTTGTATGCAGGGGGACAGTCGTGCTGGAACAGAAAAAGTATTTCCCAAAACTATTACCACAAAGCTGGAAGTGCACAATTTTCTAAAATGCCTTTGTATGCTCTGGTATTAACAATATCCTTCACTGGAGATGCCGGAACTAAAAATTTTGGAGGGGTGTCAACATTTTGGTTATATAAGTAGGTGTGATGGCCAAATGTCCACAAACTTGGATCCAAAAACTGTAGCAGTTCGAAGAAGTGGTGATATCAAGTCGAGCGTTCGCTTCTCTGATTTGTGCCAAAAAAAAAGATGATCGCCAAACACAAAATTTAAAGGCCGATTTGGCTAAATTCAATTAAATTTTTGGATGAAAATGATCCACAGTTACAGGCAAAAGTCACACAGTACTAGAGAAATCCATTACCATGATAATTCCATACTATAATGCAACCTTTATCACTAGAGGAACAATGTACATGGCCTATCTCCCCCAATGCTTCTCTCTGTGTCTATCACTACAGTACACTATGCACTTTAATGGGAAACAATATTTGTTTAGAGACAATATTATTTTTTTGTAAGGTTTCCAGTAGGGATGCACCGATATCGATACTAGTATTGGTGCAGATACCGAGTATTTGGGGAGTACTCGTACTCACCCAAATGCTCTGATACCTTCCCTGATACTGGAACTTCCTGTCAGAGGAAGATTTCCTCTGACCGGCAGTGCCGTAAGGGAACATGGAGCCAGCTTCCTGTGCGATCAGGAAGCTGGGCGGCGAGTAATGACCAGCTTCCCAGCTATCTTATTGGCCGGGAAGTCAGCTCGATGCTGATTGGCTGGGAAGCCTTCTTTCCAGCCAATCAGCATCAAGGCGGCTTCCCAGCCAATCAGGAAGCTGGGAGGTGGGTCATTATTCGCCACCTGGCTTCCTTATTGGCCGGGAAGCCGGCTCCATGCTGATTGGCTGAGAAGCTGGTTTCCCGGCCAAATTCAATCAAGCAGGTTAGACAACATGGAGCCAGCTTTTAGGGCAATCAGATTGTCCGGGAAGCTGGCTCCATGGCAGCGGAAGAACCGGTATCGGTACTTGGTATCAACGAGTACCAAAAGCAAAGTATCGGTATTCGATATTGAAAAATCGGTATCGGTGCATCCCTAGTTTCCAGTTTATAAAAAAGTTCTATATTATTTTTCTTTATTTAAATAAAATCCTTATTTTACAAATAAATATTTAACACAGGATATTATGTTGCCAATGCACGCTGTGCTTTCTTCTGAGAAAGCCCAGCACTAGTTCTGCACTTCTTGAATGCCTCAGCTGAAAGAACAAATTTGGTGTAGGACAGAATGGGAAAGGGTGAAATCCTCTGAAACAGTGATTTTGCCTCCCCGTTCCAGTGAAAAGAAACATGGAATTGGTGAAAAATCTCAGCAATGGGATCACAGACAGATGAAAAACATGACAGAAATATTACCTCCTCACCACACTATCAAAATATAGGAATATCAAAATTTGTGTGACTTATCTATAATATAATAAGTAAAATATATGCAAAACTTGTTACATTACCGTGAGACGTTTGTTTAGCTTAGACTCATTTTAATATTATATTCCATTTTATGTTGTATTATATATTCACTGATTGACTTTGTCTTACAGAACGGCATACTACACGACCCACCGCCAGGTGTACAGTCGGGAATATCAGACCGTAAATAAGTGCTGTCCTGGTTGGTCGCAGCTGAACGGGGAAGCGGGTTGCCGTCACTGTAAGTACATCTAAGTTTAGCTTGGCTGGCATGGGTAGTGGAACTTGTGGTAGACTGGAAGCTGCAAAGCCTTAGGAATACTGGGAGTTGAAGTTCTTAAACAGCAGGCAACCCTAAGCCATTTTTTTTTTGGATAGAGTGAAGAAAAAAAACCTGTCCCTGTAACGACTGCCATTGGGGAAGGAAGTGAGTTCATATATGTCCAACGGGGTCAAAACAAAGCAAGAAACAAAAAAGAAAAGGATTTTGCCCAACCTTTCCCAACCTCACTAATGTGGAGGAACCCTTAAAATAATTGTCAGGTGTCGGGAACCCCCTGCTAATAATTACTATATCTGCAGCTCAGAGTACATTAGACTCTAGAGTGTACAGTAAGCTGACATATACAAAAAATAAAGGAATAAAGAACATGGCGTACTTAGCGTGTTTGACGACCACTCTATATCAAGAAATTATTTCAGAAGTAACAATAAAAAGAAAAAAAAAACAGTAATTTGGCCAGAAAAGAAATTGTTTGCCTGGAGGTCAGTGGAAAAATGCCCCTTACATTGGGGGCCAGTGAGGTGTCCCCTCACATTGGTGGTCAGTGAGGTATCCCCTCACATTGGTGGTCAGTGAGGTGTCCCCTCACATTGTTGGTCAATGAGGTGTCCCCTTATATTGGTAAGAACAAATGGGGGTTGGGGGGGAGGGGTGAATGCCACCACAGCTTGTAGAGTCCAAATTGATTATTTATTTATAAAAGATCAACAGTATAAAAATGCCAACATGTTTAGGGGGGGTCCACAAAACTCCCCCTATATGAGGGCTTATGAATTTCCTGGTTAATTAGATCCCTTTAAGGAGAGTATGATCTTTCCCAATAAATAGTGGTCTATCTCTGGAGACCGTCTAAATATTGTCACACTCTCCTAAAAAGGACCCTATTAACAAAGCAATTAATAGGCCCTCATATAGGGGACCGCCAAAACGTGTTAGCTTTTTTACCCTGTTGATCTTTTAATAATAATCAATCTGGATTCTACAAGTTGTGGTGGTGGTGGTGGTGGGCTCCAATTGTTCTTGATTGATTTCGCTCGAGACTCCCTCTTCTTGTTTGGAAGTTTCCTGTCTGTGTGGGGGCAGCCTCATCAGAGAAATCAAATACTTCAGGGAGTACCTAGCACCTCTTTACAGAGGTAAAGGATCGCTTTACATTGTTAGTTATTGGGAAGAATACCTCCTTACAACATTGGTGGTCAGTGGGAAGAATGCTCCTTACATTGGTGGCCAATGGGAAGTTCTTTTTAGATTGGTGGTCAGTGGGAAGAATGTTCTGTACATTGGTTGTCAGTGGGAAGAATGCTTTTTACACAGGTGGTCGATGGATAAAATGCCCCTTCCCTTACATTGGTGGCCAGTGGGACAAGAATCACTTTACATTGGTAGTTATTGGGAAGAATGCTTTTTACATTGGTAGTCAGTGGGAAGAATGCTCCTTACATTGGTGGTCAGTGGGAAAAATGCCCCTTACATTGGTAGTCAGTGGGAAGAATGCTCCTTACATTGGTGGTCAGTGGGAAGAATGTTCCTTACATTGGTGGCCACTGGGAAGAATTATTTTTAGATTGGTGATCAGTGGGAAGAATGCTCTTTACATTGGTGATCAGTGGGAAGAATGCTACTTATACAGGTGACCGATGGGTTAAATGTCCCTTCCCTTACATTGGTGGTCAGTGGGAAGAATGTTTCCCTTACACATAACTAAAAAGAACAGAATCTAAAAGACAGAAGCACTTCAATTCTTCAAGGAACCTCTGGCAATCTCTGGAGGAGCCCTAGGGTTCCACATAACCCTGGCTGGGAAAGGCTGCCCTTACCCTTCCCCACTATCCAAAAATGTAAAAGCAAATGTCTGGAATTCCACGCGTATATAATACCAATGTTTTTTTATATTTTGGGGTATTTTAGGTCAGCTCAGGCTGGCAGTTGCTGAGTGTGGATTTCTTGGCTGCAGATAGCAACAACAAATGTGCCCCCCCACTGTTTAATTCTTTTATCTGCTTACAGATTCATTGGTTATATGCTAAGCGGCAGGTCTTACTGGAGCGGGGAACACTTTCTCTGCTTGCAGCCTGTGAGGGAGTTCTCTAACATTTAAATATCACAGAATTAATATTAAAATATGCTTATGTAGGTTTCAGAGATTCAAAGGAGAATGGGGAAGTGATTTATGAATCTTCAAGCCGGACCCGGGCTGTTGCCTTAAATCATGCGGGACATTTCTGGAGAGGATAAATCTGTCAAGCGTTGATGCAATTAAAATGAAGTTGTTCCACCTTTTTAAGTGCAGCAAAACCACTCCGCAATGTCAGACAGTTCGGGAAACTCGAGTTCTCACAGTGCGGTTTGGTGTCCTGACACAGCGGGTTTAGGCTGTTAAGGGGCTAAACAGAACCCGTCAGGGCATAACGTTGGGTCCAAAGCTGACTCGATTTTACTGGTACAGTCTTGGGAGCTGTCATCTTTATCCTTCCTTCCCATTTGGTACTCAGTAACCAAGAAGAAGCATCGGTATATCAAGTTCACCCACACTTCACTGGTAGGGATTAGTGGAGTGACTTTGGAGAGATTAATTTCACTGCAAAATCACTGATTTCACTGATCACTGAATCACGAATATTCGTTGCGAATACCACAGAAAAACATATACAGATATTAATACTAAAGCTGAATCTCCTAGACCCGAATGGCATTTGAGATCCGAGTTTCCGAAGTGCATTCATGAGCTCCCGAATGCCATTCTGGGCTGGGAGCCTCAGCTTTAGTAATATATGTATATACTGAACAGGAATTTTCGTGTTCAGACCCATTCGGATGCATTAAACCGAAAAACACATCTGATTGGTCAGAAAAGTCACATGTCCGATTCAGTTTAGTTTTTGAATGAAATTCGGACCGAATTCAGACACATTTGGTCCGAATTTCGGAAAATTCATCAAAATTTTGATTCGGAATGAATCGCACATGTCTAATTTAAAACTGAACTGAGCTTACAGTTATCTAAATACATTCCAAATGCTTCAAAACAAAAGGTGTTTGACACCTTGCAAATTGTTTTCTTTAGAAGGCAGCCACGGATTGGGAAGAAAAGCCTGTCCCCTGCCAGCATGTGGCAGAGAAGGACCCTGGCTCTCTGTTGGGAAGCAGTGGTCTCTCTGCAGAAGGCTGACATTCCCCCCTCTAAACCAGAGCTAGGACTCTCCAATCAGCAGGTACTGTAGCATGAGCTTTATTGATTGGAGAGTTCTACTATAATTTACCTTCTCCTGCGGGTGAATTAACACTCTCTTGTTGCTAAATGCAGCAAGGTACAGAAGAAAATGGAGTGCCAAAGAAGAGTGAATTGATGTATTATTAAAAAATAAGTAGCCAAAGCGTTTTAGGGGTTACAGGTTTCCTTTCTTCAGGGTGCTTCTTTCAGTGCATGTCTGTGTTTCAGTTGCAGTATTTTCACTAAAATGGGAATACTTGACAGCAATTCTGCATGTGGAGTCTCTAATGATATCCGTCAAGTCCAGAGCCACCCCAGACCAAACCCTTCTATGAAGCAGCAAGGTGACTCTGCAATGTCACACGTTTGTGCTCATTTTGGCCAGTAAGCAATTTCCATGCCAATTTCCATGCCACATTGGCTGTACGGCCAATGTGGCATGGCCTTTGGAAATACAAGAATTCCCGGAGGGGAACCAGTCCACCAAAATGCGGCAATATTTATAGTATCGCTGTTGGGTAAAGTGACCCCTAAAGTTAAAGGATATATAAACCCCCTGGGCTAGCAAGAAGTATATGCAAAAACATTAAAAAAAAGTTACGGAAAAGGTTTTTAACTTACCTGTGTCTCCGCCACGCGCTCCTGACGAAGACCTGAAAAATCTTGGGCTGCCAAAGTGTCATGGGGCGGGCACATGTGCCAGGAGACGAGGAGAGACACAGGGTAAGTCAATGGAGGCAGCGTGCACCCACACAGACTCAGTGGGACAGGAAGTGCCAGGAAGAGAGAGGAGTCAGCGCTGGATCGGAGACTGGCACCAGTGCTGGAGGGACTCTTGAAAACTACAGGAAATAAAAAAATTATCGGATCAAGAGGCATCATTTAAGGTAAGTCCTTATTAGCATGGGGGGTATCCTTTAATGCCTTGGTTCTCATCTGGTGGGTCGTGACCCAAAAGTGGGTCGCGACCCTGTGTTCAGTGGTTCACCGCATGCCTTCCACTTTTTTAGGCTCTTCAGCCTCCCCCTAGCGTAGCACTCTCAGTTCTTGTGCCAAGCAGCCATTCAAAATATGCTGCCCAGCGCCGAGTGTGAGCTTGTGGTGGGATACAATGGGGCTATGTCAGCTAGGGAGCTCCATCCATATGTGCATTGCTTACAGCTCCCTCACACGTGCTATAGACGCACCTTGATCAGAATTACATCATATTCTGGCTCCTGGCACCTCTACAGGGCACGCAAGGGAGCAATACAAGCAATGCACAAATGGATGGGGAACCGTCACAGCACAGCAGCCCACACTGGACCCCAGGCTGAGGATCCACTCCAGTTCTTGTAAGGTAGGGAGACTGGGTGGACCAAAACAAAAAGAAAAGTGTGGAGTGTGCATGTGTTTGTGAGAATGTCTGTGAGTGTGTGAGATTGTGTCTGTGGTTGTATATGTATGTCAGTGTTTTTGAGGTTCACACTAGTACAGTGCATTAATCGCATAGTACCATGCGATTAACGGACTATACCACGCAATCTCACCTACCGCGCGGTGGCCTAATCCTGTGCGTTCCATTGCAGTGCAGACATTGCAGACTTGGGTCGCAACTTAGTGACCAAGGACAAATGTGGGTCCTGAGGTTACACAGGTTGAGAACCACTGCTTTAATGTCACTTTAAATGCCAATGTAGGGTAAAGCAACAGGTTCACTCTAAAGCCAACTCTTGTAGGTGATTATACTAACCATCCCTTTGCTCCC